TCTAGCAGACATTGCTACAACACACACTATATTTAAAGACATAAAAAAAAATCATTGTCAATTCAATATCTGGTAGTACAAGATTAATTAGAGGCTCTAGAAGAGCTAATATTTTACTACCTTGAGGAATAAAGTAATAGAAGATGTATTATTTTCTATTAATTCTCAAAGAAGTTTATTAAGTTTTGAAGATATTTTTATCTGAATAGATATTATATTGAGACAATGAATGGAGACACTTAATACCTCTATATTACCTTTATTATCTCAAGTAGAAAGTGTGTTGAAAAAAAAATTACTTGCTCTATTCTCAGAATTAAACTATATAAATATTAGAATAATTGAAACTCATAGTAAACCAAAAGTTTACTAATGATTTTAATATTTGACATGACCGGTTGGACCATTCCGGATTAATAATGATGCAAAAAAAATTAAAAATTTATATGATCATTTATTGAAAAACTAAAAGATTTTTTAATCTAATGAATGTTATGTGCTGCTTGCTCTGAAGGTAAATAAATTATAAGGCTATCATCAGCTAAAGTTGGGATTGAATTTCCTATGTATTTGAATAATATTCAAGGTTATATGTGGATTCATACATCCACCATGTGAATCATTTAGAAATTTTATGATTTTAATCGATGCATCGACTAGATGGTCACATGTTTGCTTATTATCAGCTTATAATTTGGCATTTGCAATCATTCATTTGCAAGCACATCTTCTTAGTTATATAATCAAGATTATTTGTCTTGATAATGCTGGTGGATTTATATCTCAAGCCTTTAATATTGCATATTAGTTAGAATAACTATTGAACAGCCTGTTGCTTATATTTATACACAAAACGGTCTAACAGAATCGTTTATTAAATACTTTCAACTAATTCCAAGGCCATTACTTATGAAATTCAAACTCCCAAAGACTGCTTGGGGGGCATGCCATTTTGGATGCAACAGCATTTGTATGCATCAAGCCAAACAAGTTATTATAAATTCTTCCTATACAATTGGCTTATGGTCAAGAACCAAATATTTTTCATCTAAGAATTTTTGGATATGCTGTATATGTTTCAATTGCTCCACCATAATGCACAAAGATGGGTCCTTAAAGGAGGTTAAGAATATATGTTGGATACAAATCTGCATTTGTAATTAAATATTTAAAATTATCAGTAGGAGATTTATTCATGACAAAGTTTATCAATTGTCATAGTGATGAAACAATTTTTCCAACATTAGGGGGAGAAAAAAAATAAGCAGTTGCAAAAGAAAATTTCTTAGAATGAATATCATTTTCTAGTTTTGATCCTTGCAAAATCAATATGAACTTGAAGTTCAAAAGATTATTTTTTTACAAAATATAATAAATCAGTTACCAGACGTATTTACTAACCTAAAAGAATAACTAAATCTTATATACTAGCTGCAAATACTTCTATTAGCATTGATGTCCCCGTAGGACAAGGCACGTCAGAAGCGTGGAAACAAATCGGTTCCAAAGATAAAATCTTCGAAAAAGAAAAGGAGCAAATATTTAAAATGGTCAAAAAGAGCAACTCTAGAAGAGACCCTTGACATAATTGAAAAAAATTCTAAAAGAAATTCAGGTATCTAAAATCATTGACAGTGAAGAGATCTCAATCAATTATGTCATGACGGGAAAACGATGGAACCGAAATGAAATAAACGTCGATGATATTTTTGCATATAATGTAACGCTCAATATTATGAAAGAAAATGAGGATCTTGAACCTACATCTATTGAAGAATATAGATATAGAAATGATTGGCTAATCTGGAAGGATGCAATTAAAGTGAAATTGAATTTAATTGTAAAATGTGAAGTTTTTGGACTTGTAGTCTGTACATCAAATGATGTAAAACTAATGAAATATAAATGTGTATTTGTGCGAATATGAAATGAGAAAAATGAGATTATGAAATATAAAGCATGGCTTATAGCATAAGGTTTTCTCTAAAGATCTAGTATTGAAGATGAAGAGATATTCTCTGTGGTGGATGCAATTACAATTCTATATTAACTAGTCTAGCAATATATGAGAAGATTGAAATGCGTCTAATAAATATAGTTACAGCCTATTTATATGGCTCATTTGATATTGATATCTATATGAAAATCCTTGAAGGATTTAAGTTATTTGAAGCACAAAATTTGAATTCTCGAGAAATTTATTCGATTAAATTAAATAAATATATATGTGGATTAAAGCAATCCAGACACATGTGGTATAATCGCCTTAGTGCATATTTGTTAAAAGAAGGCTATAGAAATAATCCTATATGCCCCCATATATATTATAAAAGGGTTTAGATATAAATTTATTATAATTGCTATCTATGTTGATGACTTGAACATTATTGAAACTCCTGAAGAGTTATCAAAAGTCATTGATTACTTAAAGAGAGAATTTGAGATAAAAGACCTGAAAAAATGAAGTTTTATTTTGGATCTTTAGATTGAACATTTGACAAATAGAATTTTTGCCCATCAATCAAGTTATATCGCAAAATGCTAAAACAATTTTATATGAAGAAATCATATCCATTAAGTTCACCAATGATTGTAAGGTCATTAGATGTAAAAAAAAAAACTTTTTCAATCTCGTGAGGATGATGAAGAACTTTTTGATCCTGAAGTACCGTATCTTATTGCAATTGGAGCACTAATGTATCTTATTAGTAACGCAAGACTTGACATATGAATTGCTGTGAATTTATTAGCAAGATATAGTTCT